GACGTCATCACCCTCGCTCATTTGTCATTTGTTTAAGCCATATGTTAAACCATCTCTCGTTCTTAATATAGACTTTATTTAGGGTCGATATGTGTTGACTTTACTTTAAAATAGCAGATCTCTGTGACATGATATAGTTTTTCCGCTTAGTGAACGTGTGTCTGCTCCGATCAGGAGCTGCAGCACCGCGGCTCCTTCGTGCAGAGAGTCTGCAGCGGTGTGTGTGTGTGTGTGTGTGTGTGTGTGTGTGTGTGTGTGTGTGTGTGTGTGTGTGTGTGTGTGTGTGTGTGTGTGTGTGTGTGTGTGTGTGTGTGTGTGTGTGTGTGTGTGTGTGTGTGTGTGTGTGTGTGTGTGTGTGTGTGTGTGTGTGTGTGTGTGTGTGTGTGTGTGTGTGTGTGTGTGTGTGTGTGTGTGTGTGTGTGTGTGTGTGTGTGTGTGTGTGTGTGTGTGTGAAGAAATGTTTGAAAATGTAAAGTAAAATGCTTCAATCTGGTGCACTTTGAGCACACATTACTAGAGACCTGATCTAGGGGGTACAACTCTAAACACCCATATGAAAAAGATCGGTTTACATTTTAATAACCAAATATGTGAACATAACCAATAACAAATAAATGTAACTTTTATTTTTGTTGTTCATTCATATCTTATTTTACCTAGTTAAAATGTATTTATGCATATTTTTATATCTCTCAAGTTTTAAATGATATTTTTGGTTTACTGTCCTATAGTATACATTGAAATGATTTCAAACCTGTTTATCCAAATAATTATAAAGGAGTGCCTTGGAAATATTTGTTTACATAAATTGCATTTATCTCTCTCTCTCGCTTCCACGCCCACTTTGCCTGTGAGCTGCGGGCGCCTGATAAGCCAACACCCCCCACTTTCATCACTTACAGCGCCCATCGTACAGGGCAAATGAAAAGTGTAACCGGGGTGAAAAGGGTGTTACCTTGACTTAATTATGAATGTTGTTACATCAAGGCTGAAAATTAGGATGAGCGCAAACAGTCAAAAAGGTTTTTTTCCCTCCCGGAGCTGCCAGCGCAGCCCCCCCCCAGAACTTGTTTAATTTGTTATCACAATTACTAATGTCATGTTTTTTTTTATTCTTGAAGAGAATGTCTTTTTTTCTGGCATTCTTCCAGGATTAACAAAAATAAGAATAACATTGAGAAAAATCTTTGAAGTAAATGGCTGTTGTTAAACGCTTCCCACATTTACTTCAATCGTTCAGTAGAAAAGATAAAAGTATCCCGCAATACACAATAGAATATATAAAGAATAAATGAAAAATCTCTTCAAAAGACCAATACACTACAAAAACTGAAACTTATTGACATAGGTAATATACATCAAAAAGGCTTCAAATGTATTCAGTATTGTATGAACATGTTTTAATTGGGGTGTGGACGTCACATCCTGTAGGGGGGTCCGGGGGTATGCCCCCCCCCCCCCCGGGAAGAAATGTTTGAAAATGTAAAGTAAAATGCTTCAATCTGGTGCACTTTGAGCACACATTACTAGAGACCTGATCTAGGGGGTACAACTCTAAACACCCATATTAAAAAGATCGGTTTGCATTTTAATAACCAAATATGTGAACATAACCAATAACAAATAAATGTAACTTTTATTTGTGTTGTTCATTCATATCTTATTTTACCTAGTTAAAATGTATTTATGCATATTTTTATATCTCTCAAGTTTTAAATGATATTTCTGGTTTACTGTCCTATAGTATACATCGAAATGATTTCAAACCTGTTTATCCAAATAATTATAAAGGAGTGCCTTGGAAATATTTGTTTACATAAATTGCATTTATCTCTCTCTCTCGCTCCCACGCCCACTTTGGCTGTGAGCTGCGGGCGCCTGATAAGCCAACACCCCCCACTTTCATCACTTACAGCGCCCATCGTACAGGGCAAATGAAAAGTGTAACCGGGGTGAAAAGGGTGTTACCTTGACTTAATTATGAATGTTGTTACATCAAGGCTGAAAATTAGGATGAGCGCAAACAGTCAAAAAGGTTTTTTTCCCTCCCGGAGCTGCCAGCGCAGCCCCCCCCCAGAACTTGTTTAATTTGTTATCACAATTACTAATGTCATGTTTTTTTTTATTCTTGAAGAGAATGTCTTTTTTTCTGGCATTCTTCCAGGATTAACAAAAATAAGAATAACATTGAGAAAAATCTTTGAAGTAAATGGCTGTTGTTAAACGCTTCCCACATTTACTTCAATCGTTCAGTAGAAAAGATAAAAGTATCCCGCAATACACAATAGAATATATAAAGAATAAATGAAAAATCTCTTCAAAAGACCAATACACTACAAAAACTGAAACTTATTGACATAGGTAATATACATCAAAAAGGCTTCAAATGTATTCAGTATTGTATGAACATGTTTTAATTGGGGTGTGGACGTCACATCCTGTAGGGGGGTCCGGGGGTATGCCCCCCCCCCCCCGGGAAGAAATGTTTGAAAATGTAAAGTAAAATGCTTCAATCTGGTGCACTTTGAGCACACATTACTAGAGACCTGATCTAGGGGGTACAACTCTAAACACCCATATTAAAAAGATCGGTTTGCATTTTAATAACCAAATATGTGAACATAACCAATAACAAATAAATGTAACTTTTATTTGTGTTGTTCATTCATATCTTATTTTACCTAGTTAAAATGTATTTATGCATATTTTTATATCTCTCAAGTTTTAAATGATATTTCTGGTTTACTGTCCTATAGTATACATCGAAATGATTTCAAACCTGTTTATCCAAATAATTATAAAGGAGTGCCTTGGAAATATTTGTTTACATAAATTGCATTTATCTCTCTCGCTCGCTCCCACGCCCACTTTGGCTGTGAGCTGCGGGCGCCTGATAAGCCAACACCCCCCACTTTCATCACTTACAGCGCCCATCGTACAGGGCAAATGAAAAGTGTAACCGGGGTGAAAAGGGTGTTACCTTTACTTAATTATGAATGTTGTTACATCAAGGCCGAAAATTAGGATGAGCGCAAACAGTCAAAACGTTTTTTTCCCCCCCAGATCTGGCGCCCTAGGCGACCGCCTGTGTCCCCTATGCCAAAAACCGGCCCTGTACACCATGCTAAATGTATGTACAGTGCTTTAGGGCCACAGTGTATATCCCTTAAGGTCAAATAATGAGATCCTCGACCTCCGCCCCCCTCTCGCACCTCCACACAGAGCCCCCCCACATATCAAATCCCAACTTAACCCCTGATTATACTTGAACATTTGTGGAACTCCAGACAAACACAGACCCTCAATTGTTGCTGTAGTTTTAAAGTGAGTGAGGAACCCCCCCTGCTGTTGAATGTCAGGTACAACAGCACCCTCCCTCCTCCATATACAGTACAAAGAATCGGAAGTAAATAAATGCACTATTTTATGACTTTTTTCTTTTTAAGTGAAGTATATTGTGTTTCCTTTTTGGAGGTGCCTTTAGATTTTCATTACCAAAACTAAGCTGTATTTGATGGACTTAAGCCAACAAAGCCTTTAGATCTTTGAATTGACAGTCCTGCAGAAAGACTGAGCAGCTGCTGTCTCAGAGGCATGTTTCTGACGTGAAGAGGGAACTTTTAACATTTGTGTTTGGTGTAAAAGATTACATGTGTATTCACCTTATATCAGGATGTTACTTGCAGCTTAGTTTGTTCAAATCACACTCACTTTATGTATAAAGAGAGGAGGCTTTCCTTGTTCTTTAAAACACAAATGATTTTAAATTCTAAAAATAAATTATTTTACTTTAAGTACTTTAACTGCATTTCACTGATACACTTTACTAAAGTAAGGTTTTGAATGCAGGACTTTTACCTGCAGTATTTTCATAGTAAAGTTTTAGTACTTTTCCAGCTGTAAATAATTATTGTAAATCAAAATGATATATTTTAAACAGGGTGAGCTTCATCGTGAGGAAGATCTGACTTTCTGTTTGAATCCAGGAGAGGGCAGTAGTGCTACATTCAGGATGTAGGCTGCAGTAACAACCCTCATTGGAAGAAGAGTCAAATATAAAACTTATGTTTAATCTCCAGGATTGTACGGATCAGCAGGAGGACAATACTTTAAATGTAAGTATTGTTATTAATTTACTCAAATATTTGACAACACCTACGCCAAACTCAAGAGGCCTTAAAGCGTGCATCTTCAATAAATATAAATTAAAATGACTTTCTAAACTATTTAATATATATTCTTTACATTTTCATAACAATATTTTTTATTAGTAGATCATCATCGCCTCAATCATGTTTACCTTTTACAATAAAAGTGTGAGATACATACACCTGTTCACTGCTTCTCTCTCAGAGCAACTCCACAAACTAGTTTACACACACACACACACACACACACACACACACACACACACACACACACACACACACACACACACACACACACACCACACACACACACACACCACACACACACACTGTGATTGGAACTAAGCAATAGCATTAATTGTATGTTCTACAAATACAATTTTTACAAAAAATACTATATTCTGATGTAACCCTTTTGTACCCCTCTATAACAGATGTAATAACTTGTATTTAGTTATTTAATTACAGCACTACATGGAGCTAGTTACTCTAAATGAAACTTCAGGAGACGTAATGAAATGTCTACCCTATAGCATATTTTAAAAACATTTATTTACATGTTTTTTAAACATATCTTCAGGAGAAACAAAATCACCTACTTTGCATATTTATTACTTTTGGACCAAATGTAAAAAATGAGGAAATCTTTTAAATAATGTTTTTGTTTTTTTAACTAAATATCTGTGGAGAGGATTTCTAATTAGGGTCAACACCTGATTTGCATCTTTCTGATAACTTTGAAAGATTTGAGTGATTTGACATCAAATGTATTTATAATGTAATTATACATTCATCCAAACCCCAAGAGGCCGTATGGAGCTTTGTTCAGAAGACGATAATAGAAGAAGCTGCTGTCTTTCAGTAGACCACATCAGTCTACTTGTTTTTATTTACTCACTTGATATATGGTTACAAATGATTACACATGATAACAATGATTAAATGATAAAGAAAAACAATCTGAACTAAACTGCTGAAACTCAAGTCTCTAAATAAAACCATAAATGCTTAATATCTAAAAAGGTAAAAATGCAAAGTAACTGAATGCAAATCTTAAAAACAGGAGACTTTTCTTTCAAATCTGTCGTCACTGACACCTGTTTCATATCCAACACATTCAAGGTGTGATCATCATCATACATGGTTAAAGAAACACCACAAACATCAGCATGTTATGTTTATGATCAAATGATGAAGAAAAAGATGAACTCAACTGACAACAATCAAGTCTCAAAATAAAGCAACTACTGATGAACATGTAAAAAGTAATAAATGCAAACTGCTGAAATGCAACTCATAAACAAACTAAAATGGAGGCTTTTCTTTCTTCTACTTCCCAGCAGAAAGCTGCGTCTCTTTTATATGCAGTACATGTGATGAGTGTGATTTGGAAGAGACTGAGCTGCAGGTTAAACATCCTCATATGTGGAGAATACACAATAACATCAGAACAAATGATTACACATCGTCTTTTACACCAAACATAGTTTAAATATCAGTAAAAAGCCTCAAGAGCTGCAAAGTCTTTCTGCAGAACTGTCACCTAAAGATTCAAAGGCATCATTTTCTGATTCCAAAAGTATATGCCTCAGTCAATTTACTTTACATGAAAAGAACAAGTCATGAAATAATGCATTGGTTTGTTTGCCATACTTTGTATATAGAGGAGAGAGAGAGCTGCTGTAGCTAGCATTGAACAGCAGGGGGGGCTCTTTCCTCAATTTGAAACCAGAGCAACATTTGAGGGTCTGTGTTCGTCTGGAGCTCCACAAACTCTCTCAATTATATTCATGCTGGTAACGACGAGTATCCTCATTCAACATCTCTTCCAAACAATCACTCAGTTTGTTTTCTTCTTCTTCTGCTTGGTAACCGGCTGGAGGAGCATGCACAGTTAGCTACAGTTTGGGCTGCATGCACAGTTAGCTACAGTTTGGGCTGCATGCACAGTTAGCTACAGTTTGGGCTGCATGCCGAACTTCACAGACTTTGTGAGGAGAGACTTTGGGTCACAAAGGACAAAGTGAACCCGCACTTGGAAAATATGAATTGTCCATAACGTGAACAGTGAAGTAAGGTTTGGTTATTGAACGTTAAACCACACAGGGCGCTGTTTCCAGGAATTACAAAGATAAAAAATGTCAATCGCATTATCAACATCACACTTGGTATAATGAAATACCTTTCATCAAAGTGTAGAGCTTGTTTTCTTCTCAGCTGTGTTCCCTCTGAAGAAATCCATAGCTGCTTCCCTAGTGGCTTTACCAATACCAGAGAAGTAGCTCAGCACTGATTTGGCTCTTGGATTTTCCTCCATTTTGCTTTTCATCTCCTCCAGTTTCTCTCTCTTCTCCTTCATATTTTCAATCAGGAAGTCCAGGTGGACCTGAGTGGAGAGTGAAACACCACTCAGAGCGATCTTCTCCAGTCTCTCAACATGTTGGAAAGACTCTTCCAGAAACTGATCTTTTTCTTTCTGCAGCTCTTCTATTTTCTCCTGGAGAGTTTCCAAGAGGCTCACTGACTCCTCACTGTCTTTTTCACTTTTCTCATACATTGCTTTCATCTGCTGTATGTCCTTCTTAACTCTCCTGGTCTTTCTCACATATCTCCAGTGTGTTTTCGGATGATGTTTTGGATCACTGCACTTCTCCTCACATTTAGTGCATTGTTCTTCTTTCACATGTTTGGATACATGACACTTCCCAGTACACACCGTGCAGTAGATCTCATTCTTATGGCCTTCTACTTTACACTCTTTGTGGCATATTGTGCATCTCTTGCTTCATGACCTCACACTGACTTGGATACCAGGCCACTTCGCATGTCTTGTGACAGTTCTCCTTACAGACTTCACAGCAGGTAGCTCCCGGATAGCATATCTCTAACGACCACATTCTGTGCGTAACTTCTACCGCTTCTTTACCTTTATAGGCTTCATCAACTTCTATTGTGAAGTCTTTGTTATTCTTCATGTCTTGTTCGTGTTTCTTCAGACCTTCCTGAGTCTGTTTGATCTCTCTCTGTTTCAGTTCAATGAACTCAATCCTCTCCTGCAGGTTGTGGATGCTGGCTGCCAGTCTGATGCGTATATTCAACACTTCAATGGTTGTTTCTAGGTTCTGAGGTTCAGTATTTTGAAGGAAAACTGCAAATGTACTGATTTGCTTCATTGTTGAGTTCCATACATGCTTAATTTGATCCTCATTCTCTTCATTTCTCTCTGTTTTCTGGATGTTATTAAACATGAAATGAACAGGCTGACCCTTCTGGTTTTTTGCACACCTGATTTTGGCATCTGTCAGAGCTTGCAGAACATTTTTAGGTGTCAAAAAATCTGAGTGTGTGATGAGGGCAACGATGTTCTTCTCTATGTCTTTTCCAAACAGAGACACCACTGAATCAAAGACGTATGTCAGTCGGTCACTCAGTCGATTCTCACTCGCTTTCAGCACCAGACACACTGCATCGATCTCATGAACTTCCCTCGAGCGGAACAAGTCCAACAATCTTTCGCTGACAAGGACATCTCTCTCAATCCCGTCTGTATGTCCGTATCCAGGAGTATCGATGATGGTCAGAGAGAAGGGCAGAGTTCTGTCTTCAAGACCAAAGACCTCGTACACGATCACGTCTGACGTCTGACTTTCTGTTTGACTTTTCTTCTCGTCTTTTATAATCTGATACCAGACATTGTCCTCATATTTCACTCCCAGGGCGTAGTTAACCAGAGCGTTGATCAGAGTGGATTTTCCTGCGCCTGTTTCACCAACAAGCAAGATGGTTTTGTTTATCCCGTACAGATCTTTTTCACCATGAGTCAGTCTTCTAATAGAGCCAATGTTCCCTTCTTTTGTTTTCAGCTGATTGACAGCTGGAGAAACTGGCTGGATATCAACTGTGTCATTGATTTTACATCTGGATGAGGTGTTCCTGTAGAAAAGTAAAGACATTGGCTCAAAAACTACTGAATGTAGAATTAAACAAGTACCACCTCACAGAGAAGCAGTGACACAGAGCCGGAGATCTCCTTCTAACGACCTGATAACCATCTTCACTTTCTAATGACTGCTTTTCAAATGTTTTTAAATGTCATGCTATCGTGTGATCCCGCTGCACTATTATTAAATGATCTTGATGTTTTTCATTTCTGTAAAGCACTTTGAATGACTTTGTGTTGAAAGGTGCTAATTAAATAAAATGACCTTACCTTGCCTTCCCTATGTCTGTATACCTAAATCCACCAAACATTAGGAATATTTGGCACGGATGCTTTATTTTTTGGTAATAAAGAGTGTAACCAGACGCCTCTGAGACGTATTAACTGTAACGGTTAATTAACTGTTTATTAATACAAAAATATGTAGTAATATAATAATATGATAATGTAGAAAGTAACATGTAGAAAGTGCATCACCCCCTAGACTGTCAATCAAGCACCAGCCCCTCCCACCCATGCTATAAACTCCTCCCTTCATGCCTGTGACCTCCTTCCTTCACTACAAATGCTGCTTTCAGTCCTAATGACACATGTGGTTATAATATTCAGTTTTGTATTTGTCATGCTCGATTCCTATTTATTTCCCTATCTTGTGAGGAAAATCTAAAAGGTGGGTGTAAAAATAAATATAAAAACATAAAAGTAGTGTAGCGTAGTAAGTGACTTAAGTAAAATGTACCTTTTTAGAAATATTATGTTGATGATGTTGTAGGACCTGAAACCATGCCGTCAATATGTATTGCTTTTTCAATAATGATGTAGTGAGGTATTAAAGCAGCACTTCATTCTGTTGATTTAGAAACGTTAGTAATACTCACATTGCCATGTTGACTGGTTCACAGGAGCTTCAGAAGGGAGCACCCAAAGGGTTTTCTGGATGGAGGAAAGAGAAGTGAGTAACCTACAGATCTTCAAGTCTTCCACAGGGAAAGTTTTGACTTTGTAACTTTGTAACAACATAGAACCTTTGTGTCTCAGTTTGTGACCCGCTACATATATCACTAACGCCAAACCCGAGAGACTGTTTAGGAAATAATGTTATTTATATGTGGATCAAACTATGCCAGTCTGGAGGGCTGGCCAAAAAGAACAACAACATAAAGGAAATCTTGGCCAGCCAAACCAAAGGGGCCACGGGATAACGGTCAGGATAGGGTTATGAAGTAACACAAGTAGAAAGTAATGAGCTGCCAGATGACGGTAGTAAATAGTATATGTACTAGTATATAAGTATATGTGGCACAGTGTTATATTACACAATTGTTTTACAGGTATTTGATAATACAAAAAGAATAAGCAGCCAGTAGTATAATTTTAACATAGTATATTAGTTAGTCGCTTTTATCCAAAAGTGACTTACATACTCAATACTATGGACAATCCCCACAGGAGCAATTTGGGGTGAAGTGTCTCAGGGACACAACGACATGCTGACTGCAGTGGGGTTTGAACCTGTGCTCCCCTGATCCGAACACCAACGCTCTATCCACAGCGCCACATGCCTCCCACTTTTTGACTTACATACTCAATACTGTGCCCACAGGAGCAATTTGGGGTGAAGTGTGCACTCCACTGCGCCACAGCCTCCCATATTGCACAACAGTGTTACAACTGAAATACCCTCGAAATCTAAGACGAGAAAATAAAAACCCCAAAAACATAGATATGGTGTATATTTTCACAACTATTTTAATTTTTTTCATGGTCATGTATTGACATTACTTCAAATTGCGAGAAAAAATTCAGACTTTTCTCTAAATTTCGAGCTTTTGAAAGTCCAAATTTCTTGAGATTCAAGCTATTGTAACATAACACAGAGCGTAAAAACCCCCATGTAAGTGCACAGTCAAACACACAGTTGGATAAAAGTAAACCGCAGGCCAAGGCTGAATGTGAATATAGATAGCTGTCATATGTCAAAAAGAAATCATGCTGAATTCTGCCAATTTTTTTAAATTCTTAGTCAAAAGTCAAACACTTTTTCTCTGAATTCTGACTAAAGAGTTCTTACCTGTGCTGTTGATCTCTGAAGATGAGGAGGCGGAGAGCAAAAAGCATTTTTAAATACCAGTTGGGGGGGGGGCGGTACTCTTTGGTCACATGATTTCCCAGAAACATCTCAGATACAAACCGATGAGTCATCATATAAACTGAACTGTCTTGAATACCAATTGTTTTAGATGTTATGTCATCAGAACCTATTCATCCATCTGAAGTTGTTGTAGAAATAGTTAGCAATGAACATCTTAGCTCCCAGGCTCCTCCAACAGGGAAACATACAATATACTTAACATAAAACTAAATTAATAAAGTGCAACAAAATAGTGAAATTTAAATAATAGAGCTTGTAACTTGCAGCAATTAAAAGAAATAGACACAAATGGAAAAATATCAAACTGGACATAAATATACAATATACAGTACAGTATAATAAATACTGTATACTTTAATAATATATAAATATGTGATGGATATACACACCTAGCTAAAAACTGATAAAACATTGTGCTGTGGGTCTTGGGGCCTGTGTACTGGGGTTGAGTCCCAAAGAAGTGGATCTGGGTCCTCAAACCATTGGCCGCAGGTCACCCCCTCTGTTTCAAACCTTTCAACGCTCCAACAAAGGGTGGGACAAAATAAGATTAAAAAAAACAACGTTGTGTTGAATAACTTTTTTTTTAACTTTTAGGTTAATGTTTGGGCGAATTGTTCTCACGATACTGGGTGTGTTCACAGCAACGCCTTAATTGTTGTGGATGCAAAAACATACCTCTCTCTCTGCAGGTAAACACATCTGACCCACATACCAAAGAAATCAGAATCAGAAAGCGTTTATTCGTCACATAGTGGCAATGTCGTTTAACCGGTCAGACCTGCAGAGTGCAGCAGATGAAGGTTAACCCAGTTCATATTTAGTTTTCTGTTATGCTGTCCATTGTATAATGATTGATTGAAAAGAACAGTTTTAATATGATCAAAAGTTGTTGATGCAATTTCAAAAGCTCTGAGATTTGTGTTCGCACATTTTGATATCTTTAAAATTCAACATAATTGTTTGAGCTATTATTTAATTTATATTATTTAGTTACCATACGCACCTGTGCCGAGCAGGTAGGACCCAATTGCAGGACTGACAAAAGCTTTAAAGGTCCCATGTCATGCTTTTCTGGTTATTACCCGTCCCCTTGTGTTCTGAAGTTTCTGCATGTAAACGGTCTGCAGAGTCACAAACCCTCAAAGTACACCCTGTAGCGAGTAAAACTCTAACACAGAAAAGACCTGTCTATGCTGCCCCAGAACGCCTCGTTGGACATTTCTCTTTTTCTTGCTGGGTACAGTGACGTGACCAAATGGACTCATTGGTCCGGGGAGCTCTGTAGGTGCGCCACGTTTGGGCGGGTGCGGGGTGCGGGTCCTTCCCGCGTCCATTCGCGATGTCTTGCTATCTCGCATAAAACAAATTTAGATTTTATAAAACAAAATTACATTAGCAAAACACTTTTACCAAAGAAAAAACAAATTAACAAGATGCAAAACACTTTAACATTTGCCGAAACACTTTAACAAATTAGAGAATCAAACCGGAAAGGGAATGCCCATCATACCAGAAGTGACGTGCAAGTGATTGACACAAACTTCAGTTTGTTTTGGCAGATAGCCCGCCGGTACCTCTGGACCTTTATGGTGGTTAAACATGTTTTGTCCGTTCTGTGGAAACCACCTGGGCCAAGTGACACGGGTTCGCTCATCACGATATACTTTCTCGTGCACACGAGAAAGTTACAGGTTCGCCAAGTAGGAAGTGGAGCTGTGCCTTTTACCTTCATTAGACAGCTAAAGAGCGACTGCTGCTTCGTTATAGCCACACACACACACACACACACACACACACACACACACACACACACACACACACACACACACACACACACACACACACACACACACACACACACACACACACACACACACACACACACACACACACACACACACACACACACACACACACACACACACACACAGTCCAACAGTGTCAGTTTTATTAAGAACTTATGGTAAAACATATTTTTATCGCAAATATAGCACAAAAACATGCATTATTTTACTCTTGTACTAGCATCAGTGCCGCTTCTCGGTCGATTACCGTAAATGCGCTATTAATCGCGCACTCACAAATGAAGAGCTGCTGATTTGACCAAGTAAACGCGAGAGACGGCTGAGTTGACTGCAGTGTTCCCCTGCACTCCGACAGCACTGAGCACTACATCCAGATTAAGATTAAACTAGGGCTGTCAAATTACCACTAATTATTTTAACGCAATTAACGCATGTGTATTTTTTGTCCTCGGCCGCCCCGTAGTTTCAGAGCGCATCGAGTTTAAAATACCATCTACAAGCTGATGCTGACAGCCCCACTCCTGCCGCCCGCTTGTGGCAGACCACACTTCCACGCTCCCCGGCAGGCCCGGACTGGCCATCGGGAGGACCGGGAGGGTGTGTGTATGTGTGGGGCGAGCGAGGCACACCTTACGTGTTGTTGTTGTTGTTAGCATCTGGTGCTAGCTAGCTGTGCTAACGGATATAAGGAGCTGTTTCAATGACATTTCGCCGACAACTGCGCCGAGCACTTGACTTTATGCAGGTAGCCAGACAGTGGGACATTGTACGAAAAGTCAGCACACTCACCACGGATAGTGCGCGCAACATGATTGCAGCTCCCGTTCAAGCATATATGCCTTGAGCTGCACATAGCTCCAACGATCCATCACAGTGTCTCCACACTGTTGGAGCAGAACACCTCTGCTAAGCGCCGTTCGTTGGATGAGGCTGGATCTCTATTAAATTAAGAAAGGAATTGAAAACACCGGAATCAAAGTTATAACAAATTATCTGAGTTTACTTCTGGTAGGAAACCAAACACATATACAAGTTATACAGAGTACTCGAGTACTCCGGACTTCAGGTTTGTGATGCGATGCGGACACAGATGTCGGGACCAGCCACTCACCAAACCAAAAAAGCATTTTTACATACAAAAACATCAGTATTCATATCTATTTTTGGGGCGGAGATGTGTCAACTCTTCCCCTCCCCTTTTCCTCCCAAGCGAATCAGAGAGTCCGTGAGGAGGAGCTGTGTAAGCTGATCACCTCCCCCAAGTGTCCTGACTGGCTGGATTCACTTCTGGTCGGGTTCAATAGTTCTTCACCAGAACTTGAAATTCCAAAGTCCCATAAGGTCAAAAGTCAATCTTTATCTCTGCCTCGATCTTAACTCCATCCCCTTCCCATGGGAGTTTTTCACATAAAGTATCCCTTTTCAGACATTTAAACTTTTCTTCACCTATTTAATGAGGTCTTTAACGACTTAAAAAACAACATCTGTTCTTAGGGGTGATAAGGAGCGGTGTAATGTTGTCTTTAACGACCTTAATGACGACATCTGCTTTTAGGGGTGAAACAGGCAAGGTGTGTGTATGACACAGAATCTCTGGGTCAGTGAGTTGTAAGAGAGAATATCCTTTCTATATATATGATTACCCAAAACCGTTGTGATTACTTAAAAAAGTTCAAACAATACATGTTCACTAAAATACAATTCAAAATAATACATGTTTACTTCAATACAGTGTAGAGTCATATCTTTTTACTTCAATCCCTCTTTTGATCTCACCTCACGAGATCAACATATAGCATTTGAAACATTACCACTGTAATTTTTCTTACTGTGTCTGTCCCAACATTTATATAAACCCATCAGAAGTTGGGATATAGAGCACTTTAAACCTTTAGGAACAGTCCACAACAACAACTTCATATGACAGTGGAGGGAGAATAAAACATGTCTAAAAAGCAAAGTCCTTGTCAGCTGAGTCATAGTACGCTTCCCCCTCCGACGCATAGGCCAACAAGGGCATCTGGTACGAAGGGGAAGGGGCAGCTTTTCCCTCAATGGTGGAACTGATGAGTCTAACACACAATGAGCGGATACAAGGCACACAACAACAACCACATGTCACCAAAATGGCAATAAAAGTAGCCACAGAAATTAGAAAAGACATTATTAAACTTTTCCCTCTTTTGGTAACACATAGTTCTGTAGAATAAAAAAATACAAATCCCTTAAATTATGGGATATAAAAATAAATTTGAAAGTTCCTCCAAAAAATGGATTGTTCAGACAAAGTTCCACACCGGCTATATCAACCTGTTTCAGCGGGAAATGGAGTTCCCTGTGCCGTCTTGGTTTGCCGTGTCTTCGTCCCCCCAGCCCGCTGACGGCGGCTTCTGGGGTGCCTGCTAGAGAGATGTGGCCTGATTGTCCTCCCCCGGCCCGCTGATGGCGGCCTCCGGGTCGATGCTGGAGAGATGTCCCGATCCTCCTCCTCCGGCTCGCTGATGGCGGCTTCCGGGTCGACTGCTGGAGAGATGTCCTGATCCTCCTCCTCCGGTCCGCTGATGGCGCCTCCTGGGTCGACTGCCTTGACGAGAGCCAGATCTGTTCTGATGTCGTCTAGGGTCCTCGCGACGAGGGCCAAATCTGTCCTGATGTCGTCTAGGGTCCTCGCAGCTGTTTTTCCCGACCGCACACTGGCTCCAGTGGTACCAGTTGTCTCCCTTTCCATCTAGGCGGACGGCATGGGAGGTCCCCTTCAACCAGACGTAATCTGCTGTGTTGGCCTTGTGTTTCTCGGGTCCCCCCTTGGCGTCAGCAACCTGTGTGGAGAAGTCTCATACCAAGCCCTTAAGTTGCTGGAAATATGGTTTTGAAATCATCTCTTCTACTTCTTTAGTGTTTATTGGCGGCACCAACTAGACTGGAGTGTGGACAAGAGACTATGCAGAAAATAATAAACAAAAAATAAAATAAAAAATAAAAAATAAAAAAAATAAAAAAAATAGAACAAAAATAAAACAAAAAAGGAACAAACTAACAAAACAAAAATAACCAAAGCTAGATTATTTCAAATGTATCAATTTCTCTTAAAAGCAACAAACAAAACAAAACAAAAAATCGCCAAAGCTAGTATTTTAAATTGATAAAT